CCACATGGCATTAAATCAGGTGAAAAAAGACATGTATTTAAGGTTTGATTGAAACAAGAAGGCCAAGTGTCACCTTTGTTGACTTCAGCTGGAAACATGTCAATCAAGTGATTCCCACTGTTCATCACTGTCCTCCTGTCCACAAGTGACCCCAAAAGTTACAGGAGTATTGAGTTGAGGGTTACAAATAATTTTTATCAAGTAGGCAATCTTTTAAATTGTTTTATATTTTTAGTAGGCAAATACACAAATAAAGAACCCACAAATAATGAGGATCAACTATAGTTGTCACCTTTTTTCTTTTTTTCCCTCTTAAGTAAATGCCTACACTGTGAAGAAATGAAGAAATGATACCACTGGGTAACCCAGAGCTTCCCTCTCCACAGGAATACAGGCCATCGTACCTGAGCTCTAGGCATACAACCAAACTGAACAAAGACTTTTCCCTCGCAATGCAAAAACTGACACTAAGTCAATCTGTCCATTACAGTCACATGGATTATCCCTGGCAGAATCAAAGCTCTGCAGGATTCTTCTGCCATTAGATAGCAAGTATTGAGGCAACATGAATTAACATTAGTTTAAGTAAAACATAAATAAAAATGATGAGTCCGTGATATCACCAAATAGATTCCACAATCAAATAGTATCAATTGAGATATTAACCACTAACTCGATTTTCCCTGTTGTATGTGTGTTGCTACATAACTGCAGAGAAAAGAACAAATATACAACAGTTCCCCAGAGTAAGTCAGCTGAGCTCAAGCTAGGCTCCTGACACCCTGATGTTACACCAACATAAGTTGTTCAAGTCCTGCCTAACATGGAAAGTTTAGGCCAATCTTAAGTTAGAATGGTAAATATAAATTTAAAATCATTCCTATTAAAAAGTATAGTTAGCCAAAGAGTTCTAAAATATGTACTATTACCCTATAGCACACTTATTTCTTTTTTTCCTATTTCATATTTCTAAGCATCATTTGAAGTCCTGAATCCAAGAAAAAATATCTGCCAACCATATTTAGTGATAGGTCACAATAAAATAACTGGAGGAAAAATAATTCCAGTTAGAACATTGGTTGTAAAGTTCTGACTGAAACTGTGGCAATTCACTGGAGTCCTACCCCATGATTTCTCCAGCTTTAGCCCTTGGTTATAAGACTTCCCAAAGTAAAGCCAATGTGCAACAAAGCTAGCAAAGCTTTGTTAAAGACTTGGCTTGATGCTGCAGAGATTCAGGAGTTTTCCACCCAGCTAGCTAGTTGATTGCAACAAATGCATGCTGTGAGGAAAACACTTATATTTAAGTCAATAATAAGTAACTATTTGAGTAGGAATCGTGACATAATCCACATGTGGAATGGATGACAGGAATATATTCACTGCCTAATAAATGTCTTTAAAGGTCTAGTAAAGACTGAGGTCCACTGAATGTATGAGATCTTGTCTGTTCTTGAATGTTTACCATCACAGCTCTGAAACTGCAGGTAGGAAATTGTTAAGCACCATTTTGACAAGCAAATGTTTTTGTTTTTTTAATAGTGCTATAATCAGGAAACCTAGCAATAGGACAAACCTAAATAAATCAGCATATATGAGTACACACACATACACACAAAAAATTAACCTAAGGATCATTTTCTGAGGAATGCAGCCAATACTTGGGAAAGTTAAAAACAAAAGGGGAACACAAAAACAGACTGACATGAACACCCCCGTTATAAATATAAACTCAAATGACTCCAGGACATTTTGAATTTGGTCTTAATCATCTTTTCATTCCTAAGCACCAAACATATACCCTACAAATAGAAAGCAGTGAAATATGTATTGAACACCCCATTCTCCCGCCTGCTTTTTATTTAATCAACATGTGAATGTGTGTGACAGGTATTATACACTGGGCCACACACTGTACAAAATTTTAAAATACAAAAATGTTCAAGATGTTGTCCCTGCTCACAACTGGTTTAGTTTACTCCAGCCAGCCAGACACACCTGCCTCCCTCACAAATCCACCCTTGCAAAAACAACAAAACCAACTACAATTAAGAGAAGTAAAAGGTTTAGACTGCAGAATCCTGTACATACCATTTGGCTTTTCTGTGACCAATCTCTATACAAAGAGCTGAAGTGAAACTGGCCATCATTGGAGTGATATTGGAGCTATGGGCTAAACTGGTTTCCCTCCCACTGTCACTATTCCAGTCAAGCAGCCTGTTCTGAGTCAAGAAGCTTAGTAGATGGAGGGATTATACACAGCGGGCCTTGTCAAGAAGCTGGGCCTCCATGGTAGAACTGACAGGAAGCATGTCAGACTTGTTCACAGAATGAGATGTCACCAACGCAGGCAGAATTTGTCTCATCTAGTAAAGCATTCCCAGAATAACAATTATTTTTCCTCTGGTTTAATTTTCACTTTTAAGGTTCAGAAACTGAATACCAAAATCTAAAATCACAGAGCTGCTGATAAATCCTATGATGGTCCCAGGCTACCCCCTGTTGGGAAGACAAACAAAAGTTACCTTCCTGAATCACTCATCCCTAAACAATGCTCAATGAGTAATCTCTCTTTTTTTTTTTTTTTTTTAAATGCTGGCATGTCCTATTTCCCTAATGTCAAGAATGTCTATAAGATAAATAATGACTGGTATCAAAGGCAATAGTAGAAACTGGTCCTCAGTTATTCTTTCAATGTCTAATGTTCAACATAGTTGAAACCCTGGGAGCAGATCGTGAAACCTAAAAAAGTAAAGAGTGTATATGTTGATAGAATCAGTGGTATATATTAGTCCTACTTAGATTGAATAGTGGACCATTCCAAGCACTATGATAAATAAAAATAGGCTATTTTTCTTGCCATCAAGATACTTATAATAGGGGCTGAGGTTGTGGCTTAGTGGTAGAGCACTTGCCTAGCACATATGAGGCACTGGGTTCGATTCTCAGAACTACATATAAATAAACAAACAAATAAATAAATAAATAAGATCCATCAGCAACTTAAGAAAAAAATTAAAAATCAAGATGCTTATATAAGGCATTTTTCCCAGTAGTTCAGTTAAGTCCTCCACTTTCACTGAAACAAAAACTGTAGAAGTGGCGGCAGCTAGTAAGTAACCTAATGTTAGACACCTCACTTAACCAAGTAGGTTTCTACCACCTCTCAGAGTCACAACTCTGTCTTGTGAGTAAAATTCCAACATGACCAACAATAAGTGCACAATGCTCTACTGCTGCTAGGCCTAGGAGAGAGAACCATGAAATGAGACCCACCTTTGTGCTCAAGGAGCCCCAAGTCATTTGAATACTCACTTGAATATTCCCAATCTCTGAGTAAAGGGTGTCAGACAGGTGGAAACATAAAATATCTAAGCAAGAGAAACTGGGAAGAAAATATTACTTGCCTTTAATTTCTCCCGCTCGTGCTTTCTTGTAGAGTCCTTTGACATCCCTCTGTTCGCAGACATGCAGAGGAGCATCAACAAAGACTTCAAAAAAGGGTAAACTTGCACCCTCGTGGATTTGCCTTGCATTGTTTCGATCCTTTAAAAAAACATGACAAGCACAGAAACAACAAAAAGTGATCACACACATCAAGGGTACCATATAACAACAAGTAAAAGTGCTTTCCAACTGAGTTAGTGGAAAATATATCAGGAAAAAATTTATATTTTAAAAATATAAACTGAAATGAACAAATTCAAGACATTTACTAGGTTAATATTCATTAGCCTAATGAATGCAAACCCAGCATCTTGGAAAGTTCCAGAAGAGAAACAATGGATGTGCCATGAATACTCTGACCTAAATTCAACTGGAAACCTGAATCAAAGACCAGCTGGAATGCAGGTGTCATCTGGCCTCTCCCTGTTATCACTCTGAACCTCAGCCCAGGTTGGCAAGAAAGTGACTTCACAAAAGAGGTCCATCCAGAACCCCAATGCTGGCTTACTCCTTCACCAAATGCAGCCCTTGCAGCTGCCTCTCTCTAGCATTGCCAAAACATATCTGCCTGTACAGCTCCTAACCAGCAACTCTCTAGAAACCATCTTTATCGTTCTATCTAAACTCTCCACCCCACTGGAACACTTTTTTCTTTGAAAGTCAACATCATCCTCTTCCCTCTCTTAACTAAAAGCCATCTCTCCCTTGAGGATGCTTCATTTTGCTGCTGTTCTCAAGTGCAAGCTCCACATTTGTACAACCACACTGCAGTGCCCATATTTCCAACCCTAGTTCCTCAACTTCTGTCGTTCTTTTCCTACATTTTAGCATATGCCACCTTTCTTTAGAGCCCTCTGAAAAACCATGCCTATTTGCTCCATTCTGACCGGATGACAGTACTTTCTGTTTCAAAAAGAAAATCCCCAGGCACAAAAGCTCTTGGTCAAGTCTGTCATACAAATGTATCTACATCCTAAAAATCTTATCTATCCTCCCCACCACTCCACCCTTCACATAGTCTAAATCCCCTCCCCTTTCATGTCATCCTACAGGAAGCTGTTCAACACATTCTCCCTACTCCATCTGAAATCATCAGCCTTATCCTTCTCTACTGTTTTCCCCCCAAGTATTACACAAGTCACTCTCATCCATTTAAAACAAACTAACAAATCATACAAAAAGTTTCCCTTCAACTCAGCTGCTTTTCAGTGCTTAAAATGCCAGGAATCTGACTTCATATCGCACTGCCACCCCAACAGAATCCTAACTGTGACTCCCCAATCATTCCCCTGCACATTCCATTTGGCTCCCAGCCCTCGCTTTGCCCTTCCCTTACTTCTCATTTTGAAACTTGTGAAAGGGGGCCTTGAAGCTGTGACCCTCTTCCCTTACTTAGCCTCTGGAGGTACTAGATCAGGCATGCACTGCTTCCCTTAAACAAAGGGTTGCCCACACTCCACCATAGCATGCTGCTCACCTTCAGCAGGCCTTGAGCACTCTACTCAGCTGCCTCCATAGTATAAATAAGAACACATACACCAAAAAATAAAATAACATATACACCAACACTGAAGCCCAAGCCCTGACTTCTCTCCTGAAATTAAACATACATCAACTTCTTCCTAAATACCTGGATATCCCACAGACGCCTCAAACTGATATGACCAACAATGAATCCAGTCTCTTTTCTCCCAAACCTGCATTCCTCCTTCCACTGCTCAAGGTATGACAACACTATGAGCTCTTAACCCCGAATTGGTCTGATTCTTTACCTCTCCCACAACATTCACTGGGTCAAAAATCCTTCAGATATTACCTCTATGTGCCACACCAACCCCATCTGCCCTATTTCCCCCCTCCCCATTCAACCTCTTTTCTCTCACTGGAACAACTTGAACATCCTTTTCATCAGTATTCTCAATGCCCAAAGCCACACTCTGCACTATTTCCAGGGTACCAGCTAATGTAAAATCTTATCATCCTACTAGACTCTTCAGAGACTTTCCACCACCATCAAGCTAAGAGGTTTGGATTTTACAGCGCTACAGCTCGTCCCACCATTCTCAGGCCTTTACTCATTGAGCTATTAATAATTAATACTAGAACTATTAGGTTTGTTTTTAGAACCAAGATGCCCCAAACACACTTATTGAATGCATAAATTTGATCATGACTGGACAGGAAAATATACATACCTATATTACACGGTCCAACCCAAATATTATGAATTTTGACATACCCTAAACATACTCCAACCTCATTCTTAGAGCTTTTACAAATGAGGACAACAAAGATTTTGATCCATGCTATGAACAGAAGGCAGGGAGATCAGCAAAGACTTTTAGATACCCCAGCCTCAGCTGGTAGCTCTCCAAAGCAAGTCTCACTGACTTTACCAATGTTCCAAGAGTTGCAAAGATACACAGAAGGTTCAAGAACTTCACTGTGATTATGTTTCCTTTAAAATTGTTCATACCGGAAGGATTCAGAAATGCTAAATAACACTCATTCTGTTTACATATTTCTTCTGATACACTTTAAATTGACAGATTGACACTGATTCCAAGGTTTCAGGAAAATAAAAAGTATAGCTAGTCCTCAGGGAACACTTTAGGACTACTGCCATTCTTCAATTAACTGAACCTGTGAGGTTAACAATCTGACACTTCTTACGGGTCAAATTTTGTTTTTAAAAAAAGTCTACATGATCATTAAAACGTGTTTCTGGGCTGGGGATGTGGCTCAAGCGGCAGCGCGCTCGCCTGGCATGCGTGCGGCCTGGGTTAGATCCTCAGCACCACATACATACAAAGATGTTGTGTCTGCTGAAATACTTAAAAATAAATATTAGAAAATTCTCTCTCTCAAAAAAAAATGTGTTTCTAATACAGTACTAGAATTGTGCCATTACTATTTATTAGATTGTTGAATATTTGTCACATGACACTTTGCTGAGGACTTTTGTGCATGATTTATCTAATCCTCAGAAAGCCGTTAATTAGGCATTAATGGAGCTTAAGAAAGTTAAGTGAACTGGCCAAGGCCATAACAGTAACAACCAGCAGAGGTGAGATTCCAGACCACCTGTTTCCAACTCCAATGACAGACTCTGCTTTGAATCGCTATACAAATTTGCTTAGTATTTGATATCTGGGCTTCCTAAGGGCATTAGGTTGTCATTCAACGAACACTAAGAATCTGGCTTTGGTACCAAGTTAAAGAAGACCAAACATAAAGAAGACCTTAACTCTCAAGGAATCCATGGGATTTGGAGGCAACATAGCATGGTGGATACAACACGGGTCCTGGAGACACACCTTCCAAATGTATATCTTTGCTTTACCAGTATAGCATGTAACTTTGGCCAATGTACACCTTAGTTTCCTCACACATACCTTCCTCACTGAAGATGAGAACTACATGAGTTAATTCACATAAAAGCACTTTACAACAGTTAGCAGCACATTTAAGTAAGTGTTCAATAGTTGGATGCAGTGACACACCCCTGTAATACCAGAGATTCGGGAGGTTGATGCAGGAAAATCACAAGCTCAAAGCCAGCCTCAGCAACTTAGAGAGGCCCTAAGCAACTTAGGGAGACCCTGTCTCAAAGTAAAACATGGCTGGGGAGATGGATCAGTGGTTAAGTGCCCCTGGGTTCAATCCCTGTACCAAAGGGGAAAAAAGTAAGTGTTCAATAAATGTTAGCTACTATTATTATTGCCACTGGTACTATAAGCAGCACCAGTGAACTAGGACATTGTAAAGTAATGTGTTAAAGTACAATAACAAGGGCATAAAACACAGAGCCCAACAAAGCCTGAGGGAGGAAGAAAAGTGTTTATGAGGAGGAGATGCCTAACCTGAGTCTCAAAAGAGTCTTTGAAGAGAACTCAACTGAGGCTAAGAAGAGATGGGCAAGAGGAAGGAGAGAAATGTCTGAGTCAGGGAGAAACAAAAATCCTGAGATAAAGAACAACATGATTTTTTTCAGAGAAATACAAAAAGTGACTTGGTGTTGCTAAGGTCTCTATAAAGTCAGAGTATGACGGGAACTGAGAAAAAAGAATCAAGATCAATGACATCATGGAGGACATGTGTAAAGAAACCTGAATTTTTCCTGGTGTCTGACACCAGCCAAGAAGTGTTCACAATAGGTTTACTGAACTGAAACGTCAAGCTTGAAATAATTTGGCCATGGACTTAAGTTCAATAACTTTATTATACTCTAGATTATAAAAACCTGTTTTTTTAACAGCAGCTTTTCCCAAAACTGGATTTACTCAGAAAAGTTACAGCACAGAACTGTGTAGGTTATTTTAATTTGGAGTTAACCTCAAAGAACAAGTCACTGTTTCAGTTATGAGCTCTGATACCACATTTTCAATAGATGTAATCAGAATAGCATTGGCACAAAATCCACATACCTGAGTATAGGGTGATATAAAACTGGTGATACACACTAAGCCAGCATCTGCAAACAGCTTAGCAACTTCTGCAATGCGCCGAACATTCTCTTCTCTGTCTTCAGGACTAAAGCCAAGATTTTTATTAAGACCTTGACGAATATTGTCACCATCCAAAGTATAGCATGGGATGCCATGGCAAACCAAGTACTCCTCCAAAGCCATGCTCACAGTGGTCTTCCCTGCCCCAGACAAGCCTAAAAGTAAACAGTCCAGAGAGATTCCACATGTAAAGTTAGAACAGTAACTACCAAAGAATTTTAATAACAGGCTTAAATGTATTCATGATTCACATAGGTCTCTCAGGAACATTCTTATCCAATATTTTCATTTGAGTTTATTTACCTAGTAAATAAACACTTGTTTTTGATTACATCTCTATGTCCAAAGGTATTCTAGAAGTTGTCAATAAGTTCTAAAATGATTGGGTATGTTTTTCATACTTTGCCCTCTTATTAATACTAAAATACCACCAATTTAAAAAGTTTAATTCTCAAATTATTTATAAAGGAATAAAAAGAAAGGACAAAAGTAAGTGAAATATTAAAAGTTAGCTATATATTGCAGAATCATCACCTAATACAAACTACCATGACAAAAAGTGTATGTATAGGACCAGGGTTGTACCTTGGTGGTGGAGCACTTGCCTAGTATGTGTCAGGCACTGGGTTTGATCCCCGGCACCACATAAAAATTACAAAAATAAAATAAAGCTATTGTGTCCATATGTAACTAAAAAAAATTTTTTTAAGTGTATGTACAATATTCTTTTGTATTATACAATTTATACAAATAATTGTAAGTATTTGTACAACTTATAATATTCTTAAAAGAATATCCTCATTTCAACTCCTTTTCCTCTATAAACAACAAAAGAAAAAGCACATTTATGCACTAATACTTTAACATTTTAATAAGTATACAATTATACAATTCACAGTCAAGGGAGTTATAAGGTAAGAGATAAAATATAAGGTAAGAGATAAAATATAAGGTAAAAGATAAAATATTGAAGTTTAATGTGTCAGTGCTCTTGAGAGAAATCATGGTAGCACAGAAAGTTAACTGAAAAAAAGAAGATCAGAAAGGATGACAATGTTGAGAGGATCAAGAGAGCACTGGCTGCTTTATTCATCAAATATTCAACAAGTACAGCAGATTATATTTCCCAAGGATGATGTTGCCATGGTCACATCAAGGGCACAATCTAATGCCCCACTCTTGCAACTGGGCTAGCTTGAAGACTCACCATTTATGGAAAGAATGTACTGAAATGACATTGTGGGTCAGAAAAAACTATACAGCTTCTCTGGGGTCACTGAATTTGGGAGAATTCCAGAGGTAGATGTTTCAATTGTCAATATCAACTGCTAAGCTCCCAACAGATACACAGCATCAGCCAACTAAATCCCCTGGATATCCAGTCCAGTCTTCAGCGACGGCCCAATCTAGCATGACCACAACCAGACAAGGCCCGAGTAAAAGGGGCTGCTGTGCCCTCCTGAACTCCCTGCCTTCAGAGTGGTAAGCAGATTAAAATGGTTGCTGTTCTACACCTCTAGGCGTGGGATAATTTGTTACACAACAGTAACTGGAACAAAGAGATAGTGAGGCCCTAAGCAATTGCATTCAGTGAGACTCTGTCTCCAAATAAAATACAAAAAAAGGACTGGGGATGTGCATCAGTGGTTAAATGCCCCTCTCAATCCCTGGTACTAAAAATAGTTCTTCTGGGGCTGGGGCTGGGGCTCAGTGGTGGAGCACTTGCCTAGCATGCGTGAGGCACTGGGTTCAATCCTTAGCACCACACAAAAATAAGCAAATAACAAAGGCATTCTGTCCATCTATAACTACAAAAAATTTAACATATTAATTTTTTTAAAAAAAGTTCTTCCAATATCAAATGGAAACAGTAAAGTTCCTAAACAGAAAGAAAAATCTGAACAGCCTCATACATCCTCACAAACACATTAAATGCCAGAAGACAGCAGAGAACTGTTTTTATAATTTCAAGAGAAAGTATGGTTCGAATATACACTTTACCCAGTCAGGCTGTCATAAAATATGAGCAGACACTTGCAAACATAAAATCTCAGGATTCAGATCTCAACAGAAGACATCTTTCAAAAACTACTTAACAACGAAATACAAATTATCATGACTTGATTCAAATAAAGGACACACAAGCAACCATGACATAATAAAAGAAATGATGGTGAGTTCCTGAGTATTAAATACAACAAAAATGTAAAGAAGTATAAAAATTGAAGATGTTAAAACAAAATTATAGGCAGGGTAGTGCATGCCTATAATTCCAGAGGCTCTGGAGGCTGAGAAAGGAGGATCCAGAGTTCAAAGCCAGCCTCAAGAATAGCAAGGCACTAAGCAACTCAATGAGATCCTATCTCTAAATAAAAATACAAAAAAAGGCCCCGAGTTTAATCTCAATACCCAAAATAAAAAGTACCCCCCCTCCAAAACGTAAGTGTTACAAACCTAGGCAATTTAAAAGCAACAATTTTACAACAATCTAGATCAATTTAAGAATGAGGGGACAGGTAAAATTCAAGAGTGCCGTTTTCTTTCACAGAAAAACAAACATCTGCCTACAACATGTAATATTTTTAAAATGTTGCTTTTAACAATCAGCACAACTTTTTATTTATTTAATTATTTTTAGCACAAATTTTTAAAGACAGGTAAAGATAGTTTTGACAAAGATACTGGAAAATGGACCCTCTCCCATATTCTTGGTGGTAGTCAATTGATACAAAGTTTTAGTGGACAATTGGCAACATTTTTAATACAATTCCTACATTCGAAAGGATTCATTTTTGTAACTGTAATAATATTATAATAATATTATATTATATATTATAATTATTATTAATTACACAGAAATATGACATATTCATATATGCAATTAACATTTTTTTGAGGAGCATCATTTTTAAAACTATTCCTAAAATCAATTTACCCTCTAGCCACCCTACTATGGCTAAGCCCAAAGAGATAATCAACACAAGAAACCATGAGATTGCCACACAAGCTGCAAGATAGAAACTGATAATTTGAAATTCTTTATTAGTCATTCTTTCTCTCCATACAATTAACACTGTTAGCTCCTTGAAGCAGAACCAGACTTTATTTGTACTCAGCTTAGAGATTTTGGTGTGGTTTCTATTAAGAGATAGTTTTAAGATGCATTCTGCTATTTCCCCCTTATTTAACAGCAATACTACAAAAGAACAAAAGGAATTAACATTTATTATTATTATTATTATTATTATGCAACTATGTCCACTACACATTGTTCCTGCTCCAAAGACAAGAACTATGTCTACTCCTAATCCAAAACTATTGATAAGCACTGCTTTTAAAGTAAACTGGTTTCTCTCTTGACCATACCTGTTAGCCAAACTGTGCAACCACGAAAGCCACCTCTGGTCCCCACCACCTGACCTCTCTTGTTTCTGCTGACATGGTGAGCTTGATAGGTGACATTAGTTGCTCTCTGCATTCCCTGGGGAAAAAAAATTAAAAATGGTTCACTTGCATCCATAACAGATAAACACACACTCCTTGCAACCATACAGTTATACCAAAAACAGGAAGAAATAAACTGCCAGCCTTGTTTTCTTTATAGGATGGGCATGATGTGCAATATTTCCCATACACCAATTAATTTAATCCTTATAGCCATCCAATAACATAGGTTCTCATATAAAGATGTTAAACCTGAGGAAACTAAATATCTCCCAAGTAACGGAAGAGTGGTAGACTCCAGAACCTAGTCTTCCCACACATTCATTTATTCATTTATTCATTCATTCAACCAGTATTTGCTGAGGTCCAATTAGTGTGCCAAGGAAAAAAGATCCCTCTCCTAATGGAGCTTACACTCAACAAGAGGAGATTGCAAACCAGAAAAACTTATTTAGGAGAGTATTATACAAAAATAATAAAACCAGATAAGAAAGATCAGAGAGAAAGGGAAGGAGTGTCTATTTCAAAAGGATGATCAAGAAAGTCCTCTGAGAAGGTGGCAATCAGCAGTCCCCTTAATGCAGCATGGAAGAGTTGCCTACAGATACCATGAAGCAGTTGCCTTTGGGGGGGGGGGGGGGTGAAATGTACTGATTATAGCCTGAAGTTTTCCCAACTTTTCTTTTCCTTCAGGAACAAAAAGGGCATAAAATTACTGAGGCCTTAAAAGATCTAAAAAGACTTTTCTTAAAGAAGATATAAAAATGGCCAATAAGCACATTAGATGACAATATAATTAGCCACCATGGAAATGCAAATCAAAGCCACAATGATATAACACTATTCCACAAGGATACCTAGATAAAAACAACAGACAATAACAAGCACTTTGAGGAACTGGAGACACTGGAATCCTCATATATTTGCTGATGGAAATATCAAACCATACAGTGACTTCTCAGAACAGCAGTCCCTCAAAATATTAAACATAGAAATACTACATGACTAAGCAATTCTACCCTAGATATGTACTCACAAGAAATAAAATCATATTGCCACATACAACTTGTACAGGTGTGCCAAAGCAGTATCATGTATAAATGTCAAAAAGTGGAACCCAACTGTTCCATTAATAAATTGCTGGAAAAACAAGATGTAAACAAAGTTATGCAGTATAACCATACAGCGGAATATCTCTTGGCTGTAAAATGAAACACCAGTACAAGGTAAAACATGGCTGTCCTCAAAAACAGTAAGCCAGGTGAAAGAAACCAGTCACAAAGACCACATATTATAGAATTCCATTTATATGAACTGTCCAGCATTGGCAAATCTATAGACGTAAAAAGATCAGTGGTGGCCTCAGGCCAAGGAGGTTGGTAAAAAGAGGGAATAAATGCTTCTGGTTGTAGGATTCTTACTGGGGGTGATAAAAATGTTCTAAAATTGACTGTGGTAATAAATGCACAAATCTGTTCAGATACTAAAATCCAGTGAATTTTACATTTTAATGGGCAAGTTGAATGGTATGCAAATTATACCTCAAGAAAAATTTTTTACTAACAGAAAAAAATAATTATTGTTAAGACTACGCAGATAGGCAGATATAATCATGGAGACCAGGGAGAATAGGGCTCAGTCCATCTCCAGTGACAAAAGATCACACTATTCAGTGTGATGAAAAAAATCACATGTAAGCTGCATCCTTCATGACCAGTTACTACCTTATTAAAACTAAAAAAGGACTGAGGTTCTGGCTCAGTGGTGGAGCACTTGCCTAGCATGTATGAAGCACTGGATCCTCAGCACCACATAAAAATAAATAAATAAAATAAAGGTCCATCCACAACTAGAAAAAAATATTTAAAAAAAAAACCTAAAGAACAGGTTATGACCAACTTAAGGGACTTTCCAGGCTTGGAACACACACACAGCACTGAGGCTCTGTCCTTTGGGTGACCCCAGTTCACTGTAATATCATTTACACTGCAGTTTTGACATCCCTCAGGGTGGTTCTGCTTAGGTGCCAATAGGAAATTTTCTAACATGGCAAAGTCAGCACAGGTACACTAAGCCATGGAGGGAAAACCTAGTAACCACCCCAAATGCTTAACACATGAGGAGAGAGGTTTCCAGACCAAATGCAGAAACTCACCTTGGAAAACCCCAGGCCACCTTCTCTCTTGGGACTGTCTACTCCAAGCTCTCTGGAGTATTACTTTAATTCACTTCACTAAGTAAAGGAAATGAAATGAATGAAATGCCTATCCTGTCTCTCTCCCACTCAGGAACCCATCACTCGGTTACAGCCTTGATTTTCTCTTCCTATGGAGCAATAACATAATTTATGTTCTCTCCAACAAGTTATATCCTTTTCAACTAGGTATCAATATCCTTCTGGAAAAAAAAATGTATTAGATACTACTTATAGCTCTTATCCTTAAAGAGAATTTTATCCAACACTCATTTAAAATATTTATTGAATTCATGCTATTTTCTTGACATTCTTCTAGACAGTAGTGAACAATACTGTTACAATCAATGCCCTCAAAATCTCCTGTCAATCAACTGCCACCTGCACCACTACTGCCATTGCTGCTGCCTCTGATTTCCACTGCTGCCAGCCTGAGGTTGCCTGGAGGTCTTCTTTCTGGGTGCTGCTGCCACAGAAGACACCACTGCCCTGGGTGCAACTGAAGCCGACACTGCTGCTCACCCCCTGAGATCGCTGGGTGACACTGTCCCCACAGCTGCAGCTACCACTGCTACTGACCCTGCTGCCTGCTACCAACAACCATTGCCACTACCACTGCTACCACAGCATAGAGAACTGCTTTGGGGGAGACTCCAGGTATGGCTGCACCCATTTTGGGACAGCCAGGGCCTGGGGCCCCAGAGCAAGCAGGTTTACCACCACAAGAGCCTCTGTCTGGGGACTCCAGCCAGGACCTGCACGTCCAGTGTGGGGGTGCCTGCAGGTTTGAAGGAGCCTGGAGTCTTCCTGCTGAGAGGGCTGGTGGCCCTTGTCTTGCTACTGCATCTTGGGGTTGTTCCTTTGGCCAAGTGTACCCCTAGTGGTCTTTCTGCAAGTAGGAGCAGCACTGAGATCTTGGGACTGCAGCGTAGCCAAGCCTGAGGTAACTGAAGCCCAGATCAGTGGGATAGGGACTGGGTTTGCAAGGGCTGATCTGGGTTCAGTGATCCCAAAAGACATCAGAGACAGGGCTGAGAAACTGTTGAACACTAACGAAGACAGTTGATTTTATATTTTATTTTATATTTTATATTATATTTTATTTTATTTATTATTTATTTATTGTATTGTATTTATTTTTTGATTCGCTAATTTCTCTACTGTATTTGGAATAGGATGTTTTTTATGCATCAGTGTGTGGAGGACAATGATATATGAATGGTGTTTTGCATTTTTGTTGTATTCTTATGTCTTTAATTTTTTCTGTTTGTTCTTAGTCTTCCATTCTTATCTATTTTCTTGGATTTTTTTCCCCAATGTTTCTCCAACCAACAGCCAATCTCTATAGGCTCTTCTTTCACTCCTCCTGTAAATTTTCGCTTCTAGCTTTTCTCTTCCTCCTCATGAATATCACATACTACCCTACCTCTGTTCTTTCATCCACCATTTGAAATTATAAATCATTTTAACAAATTTTCTGTTTGTACTAAAGATATTGAACTCATCACTTTGATTTAATACGAGAAAGCAGTTAGTGGGAGCTAGTAGGAGTAAGGCTATATATCGTGTACGCTGGGTGCTGCTGATAATGGTCTCACCATTAAAACACTAGACACCTTCAGGGTCACCATAGATCTACAGGGTAGAATTTATGCTACCTTAGACCTATACTTCTACATGGGAAAACAAACTAACAACATGAAAAAACAGGGAATAAAGCGCCCCAAACAAGCCAAGATGTTTCAACAACAGAAGCCACTGATAACACAGTAGAAGAAATGTCCAAGAAGGAGTTCAGTTTGTACATAAATATGTGAAGTAAAGGGTAGTATAAGAAGTGAAATCAAAGAAAAAATATAGGAACTGAAAGAACACTTCAATAGAGTTAGAGATCATAAAATAAAACAAACAGAAATCCTCAAAAGGAAGGAATCAGTAAACCAAATTATAAATTCAATAGAAAACATCACCAACAGAATAGACCACTTGGAAGACAAAACTTCAAATAATGAAGACAAAATATATAATCTTAAAGTAGAGTTGACCATGCAGAGAAGATGGTAAGAAACCATGAACACAACATCCAAGAATTATGGGATAACATGAAAAGACCAAATTTAAGAGTTATTGGAATAGATGAAGGAGCAGAGATATAAACCAAAGGAATGCACAATCTTTTCAATGATATAACAGCAAAAATTTTCTCAAATCTAAAGAATGGAATGGAAAAATCAAATAGAAGAGGCTTACCGGACTCCAAAGTTACAAAATTACAGCAGACCCACACTAAGACACATTATAATGAGAACGACTAACAGAGAATAAAGATAAAATCTTAGAGGCTGTGAGACAAAAAAAAAAAAAAATCAAATTACATACAGGGGGAAACCAATTCGGATCTAAACTAATTTCTTATTCCAGACCCTCAAAGCTAGGAGGTCCTGGAATAAATATTTCAAGCTCTGTAAGAAAATGGATGGCAATCAAGAATTTTATATCCAGCAAAATTAAGTTTCAGATTTGAAGATGAATTAAAAACCTTCCATGATAAACAAAAATTAAAAGAATTCACAAGTAGAAAGCCTACACTATAGAACATTCTCAACAAAATGTTCCATGAGGATGAAGTGGGGAAAAAAAAAAAAAAGTGAAAACCAGCAAAGGGAGGATTGACACTAAAGGAACATTCAACCAAATGAGAAGCTAAGACAAATCAAAAACCAGAAATAAATCAAAAGACAGGGAACACAAATCATATCTCAATAATAACCTTGAATGTTAATGGCCTAAACTCATCAATCAAAAGACATAGATTGGCAGATTAGATTAAAAGCAAGACCCAA